GGAACACCTTAGCAAGGAAGGCTATAGCGATGTTAAATGGAATCCTCTGGGATCAGCGGATTTCCAAAGATAACAAGAGGAGGATATACAACGCTGTAGTCAAAAGTATATTAACATACGGATGTGAAGTTTGGCAGCTGAAGAAACGGACACAGGATATGCTAAGAGCAACGGAGATGGATTTCTGGAGAAGGTCAGCAGGAATTTCTAGGAGAGATCGGGTCCGTAATGATAGAGTGCGTCAGATAATGGAAGTCGAAAATGACATCGTGTTCGACGTCATGACCAAACAACTTGTTTGGTATGGTCATGTCAATAGGATGACGGAAGAGAGGCTGCCAAAAAAGATGCTTGATTGGGTTCCTCCTGGGAGGAGACGTAGGGGACGCCCAGTGAGAGGTTGGCGACAGGGGGTGTTAAATGAGATAAAAGATTGTCAACTCCCTGATGACCTGTGGGAAGACCGAGCTTTGTGGCGATTAGGCGTCGCACAGCGCCAAAGAGCGCTATAAAAGCGACTCATATATATATTATATTATGGGGCTAGAGTATGCATGCACTATGCAACCCGCAACCTGCACTCAAACGCACAAAAATAGAAGAAAGTCACAATTCTTACATTTTGCGAAACATGACTAGGAACCTTTATTTTTCAATACCCTGGTAAAAATTGGCAGTAGAATCTGTGTTCCAAAATACCATAGACCTACAGCTGGCTGTAAGATTTCCAAAGCTTCTATAGCCGGCTACACAATTTCTATAGCCTTTTATAGCCGATGGCGATTAAGCAACAGCTAGGCGATAAAGTGTATGCTAAACCTTACTAATTACGGATGCTAGGACTTCGTGAGTTTTTGGACTACTGCTCTCTTTTTGGGCCGTAGTATCTTGATTTATTTTGCGAGGAAAGCTCCGTACTTTTGATGGATGCCTGCCATTCCTAATATATTAGAGCGCCTTCAGTTTCGTATGATACTGTGCAACACCTCTGGTGTGAAATAGTTGCTTCAATCGCCGTGGCACGATGCGGCGCGGCGGGCGGGCAGCCAGCGCAAAACGGGCATTGGCGCCTTCAAACCTAACAGGGATACTTCATGCGTTGCGCAATTTGTGAAGTATCCCTGTTAGGTTTGAAGGCGCCAGTGCGTCGCCGCTCCGCTTTGTGTTAGGCTCTAATAATTAATCTGGCGGAGTCAGCGTTATTCAACTCATGATTTTGAAATGTTTGTACATCCTGTATGGATTATTCTCATTTTAATTGATGAAAAAATAATATGTATTAAAGGAAAATATAATGTGTGTTTTGTAAATATTAAGGTGGTTCGGTATCAAACTTAATGATTTCCAAAGCACACGAATTTTTACACAATTTCTTATAGCCTTTTATAATCGATGGTGAAAAAGCAACAGCTAGACGATGAAGTGTAGGCCGAGCGATAGGAACTATAGCCCGGCGATAGGAACCATAGCCCGGCGATAGGAACTATAGCCCGGCGATAGGAACTATAGCCCGGCCATAGGAACTATATCCTGGCGATATGAACTATAGCCCGGCTGCATAATTTTTGATTGCTTCGTATAGCCCGGCCGTATGATTTTCCCCGCATTCTACAGCCAGCTATATGATTTTCTGTAGCCTTCTTTAGCCGGCTATAAGAATTCCTATGGTACTTTGAAACGCAGCTCTTATCGCCAATTTTTACCAGGGTATATTTCATACATTTCTGAAATTTCATGAAATATTTCACTTGAAACTGCAAGATTTTATTTTTCATGAAATTTTGCAACCTAAGTGGGAGAGAGGGGGGGGGGCGGCGCAGCATTTCGGTTCATGTTCGGAGGATGGTCTGAACCTGTATAAAACCCGCTTTACCGCACCGATGGAAGCAAGGAAACCATTGTAAACGTTTGATGATTCACATCGCTAACGATTATGAAAAATGGAGAGGATTTTACGTGCGGTGACAACTTTGCTGGGACCTGTGAGAAAGTTGATCGGAATCACTTTCGCTGGGATGGGTAAAAAACCAAAATAGTTGAGAAGAATGACACCGGTAACCGGTAATGTGGGTCAGTGTGTGTTTTAGGTGCGATGACCACAGCCAGTATCCAACGATCCTCTCTGGGAAGGTGAAGGTCTCCCAACGTGGATTAAACTGGTTTCACCGCAAGCATGCAGTGTTGCCGTTAGCGGAACCTCTTGTTTTCACTCTTTTCAAGAAGTTCACTAATATTTGAACAGCATTTCAATAGGCCTGGATACTCGCTCTTTCCATCAATTTCCGATCAAATGGTGACTGGTGTGCACCATCTACCATCAAATTTTTGCGGCCTGCAAAAATTTGACCGTCATATTTGTCATCATTTTGATCGGAAATTGACAGAAATTTAAGCGTGTATCCAGGCCCACTGACCAAAGTCTGGGGTTGCAGACTGAAGGTCTATAGCAAAAATGTCCACAAGCAGAAAGTATACATTTTTTGGTCTACATTTAAAATGTCTAGAACTAAAAAGTCCCCTACGAAAATGTCTACAAATAATGATAACTTCTAAAAAAAAAGTCTATACCCAGAAAGTTGACTTCTGAATGGAATAGACCTACTGTCCATAATTCAAGTCCAGAACCATGTATCTCCGTTTGCGACGTTGCAGACTTCCTGTCATTTTTTTTTTTTTTTTTTTGGAAAAACTGGTCAACGTCTTGACAGCTTCCTTGATTTTTCTTCTATGTCAGAAGGATATTTTACATAAATTTCGAGGTATACGGTTAGCTCGTTTCCCTTAGAAAAATAAAATAGGAGCGGAAATTTTGAAACACCGCAAGGGAGCTACATGGTTTCGCACTTCAGCCATTAATTTACCGAGTAAGATCCTATGATTGCGGGAGAGTAGAGTCCCTTTATACAGAGAGTTGAGACAACGCGGCTTCTGGATGTCACAAACGGGAATAAAGATTACACAAATCGGACGTTTGCTGTAATCTTTGACCCATCCCCGAATCCATCCCCATCTTGAATTCCTGAATCATTCCCGAATTCCTGTTCCCGTTCCTTCTCTCATTCCGTTTGTGCCTTGTCGTGCCCCCGATTCCCCGGTCCATTCTACTTCATAATTTTTGCAATTGGTGTGGTAATGAACACCAGATTCTATGGTGGTATTTACCTATCTCGGTAAGTATCACCAAAGTTCTGGAGAATACTACTATGTTCTGGTTATTTCCACTAAATACATTAGTAATACTGCGTGAAAAATCAAATGGACTCATACCGCCCTGTTAAGGAAGGACGCCGTATGAACATTCAAGAGTTGCCAAATTTTCTCCAATAAAATTTTTATTTTTGAGGAAAGTCATGAATATTTTTCCTTGAAATTTTCAGGAACTTTTAGGTGAAATAATTGAAGACAACAGTATCTGAATGAGTGGAAGAAAAATATTCATAAGCTTAACAGGAAATTTGTGTTTTGTAAATGGAAATTCGGCTACACCTGAAGGTTCATACGGCGTATTTCCTTAATACGGGAGCATAGTGCAGATCAGTGGCGTATGCAGGATAAGGTTCTGGGGGGGGGGCATTTCGAAAAACCTCCCATCGGGGGGTCCGTCCCCCCCGAAAATTTTCAGGAATTTAACCCCATAAAACCCCACTTCTTAACAAGTTCAGTCATGAAAAATGATGAGAAGCTCTCCACTATTTTCCCCCCAAAAAGACCGTAAAAGAATGGAAAACCGTTTAAGCAAGACCAAATTGAATGTTTTGTTTGAAGTATAAGATGGAAAAAATCCACGAATTTCCTGAAGAAAAAATGAGATAGGTAGACTCTCCAATTCCTTACATTCAAAAATTTTGATAAAATTATTATGGTGCGTGGAAAATATCGTCGTGTTCTCTCTCCACCCGATTTTTCTTCATTTCCCTTGATTCTCTTATTTTTTTCTCTCTTTTTCTGTGGCTCTGAGGGAGGAGGGGGGGGTCCCGGACTCCCTGGTACACATACATATAAGTCGCTTTACAGCACTCCCTCGCGCTCTACGACTCCTAACCTCTACTGCTCTCTTTCAAACCACAAATCTTGGGGCATTGAGCACCTTAACATTTCCGCTTCAATCCCCTCCCTCCAACCTTTCATTGGGCGCCCTCTGCGTCTTCTCCCAGAAGGAACCTAATCTGGGTTCTTCTTCGGCAACCTGTCTCCTGCCATTCTCTGGACACTCCCTCGTACCCCCCGTAAATAAGACACTGGTATAGATGTCACCACATTTTTTATGTTCTCGCTCTCCGAGGGCATAGAGAAAAAAAAAGAAGTGTTTGCATTTTGGGCATCTTGGAAATTTTTTGATGATTTGATGACGTAGGTCGGTACAGCGACATTTATCCTGTCGATTTTCTTGGAAATGGTGTATTTTAAGGAAAAAAGTCATTCTATAAAAAGTGCTTGAAATTATATGATGAGTTGATTTAAGTAAAAAATCGGAAATTATGGTCCGTTTATCATATTTCGAATTCCGGATTTCGCTGACCAGGTTGTGACGACCTACGTCACAGGGTAAACAAACCTCAAGATGCAAACACCTCCTTTTTTTTCTCTATGAGGGTAGAGGAAGTACTGTTTTTCAGTGCATCGGAAGAAACTTGACAGCGCCCGAAAATTCATACGGCGCTCCTGGTTAACACCGGTTGATCCGCGCATGCGCACTGCGCACGGTTCAACTCTGATTGAAGCGAGAGGCACCGCACCGGCACCGGCACCGATCTCAGCTGATCCGGAGGGCCTCCGCTCTGCATGCCGTCTGCGCCGCGATGTAGGCTACCGACAACACGTTTTACGGTTAGAAGTAGGCCACCGACGACTCCGGCCTCGGCCACGGCTACGGTTACGGCCTCCGAAAGGGGGGGGGG